CAGCATTTTTTCCGAATAAGGCAGAGAGTGTTTGAGGACCAGGACACCTGTAGGGATACCAAGGTGTTTGTTTATAAAGCTATTGTCCTCCCAACCCTGCTATACGCCTGCAAGACATGAACTGTCTATAGATGTCAACATTGACACTGAAATACAACACCGCCTGAGCTCTGCAAGTGCAGCATTTTTCCGAATGAAGCATAGTGTGTTTGAGGACTGGGACATCCGTAGGGATACCAAGGTGCTTGTTTATAAAGCCATTGTCCTCCCAACCCTGCTATACGCCTGCAAGACATGAACTGTCTATAGATGTCAACATTGACACTGAAATACAACACCGCCTGAGCTCTGCAAGTGCAGCATTTTTCCGAATGAAGCATAGTGTGTTTGAGGACTGGGACATCCGTAGGGATACCAAGGTGCTTGTTTATAAAGCCATTGTCCTTCCAACCCTGCTATACGCCTGCAAGACATGAACTGTCTATAGATGTCAACATTGACACTGAAATACAACACCGCCTGAGCTCTGCAAGTGCAGCATTTTTCCGAATGAAGCATAGTGTGTTTGAGGACTGGGACATCCGTAGGGATACCAAGGTGCTTGTTTATAAAGCCATTGTCCTTCCAACCCTGCTATACGCCTGCAAGACATGAACTGTCTATAGATGTCAACATTGACACTGAAATACAACACCGCCTGAGCTCTGCAAGTGCAGCATTTTTCCGAATGAAGCATAGTGTGTTTGAGGACTGGGACATCCGTAGGGATACCAAGGTGCTTGTTTATAAAGCCATTGTCCTTCCAACCCTGCTATACGCCTGCAAGACATGAACTGTCTATAGATGTCAACATTGACACTGAAATACAACACCGCCTGAGCTCTGCAAGTGCAGCATTTTTCCGAATGAAGCACAGTGTGTTTGAGGACTGGGACATCCGTAGGGATACCAAGGTGCTTGTTTATAAAGCCATTGTCCTCCCAACCCTGCTATACGCCTGCGAGACGTAAACTGTCTACAGATGTCAACATTGACATTGAAATACAACACTGACTGAGCTCTGCGAGTGCAGCATTTTTCCGAATGAAGCAAAGAGTGCTTGAGGACAGGGACATCCGTAGGGATACCAAGGGGCTTGTTTATAATGTCATTGTCCTCCCAAACCTGCTATATGCCTGCGAAACATAGACTGTCTACAGATGTCAACAGTGAGACTGAAATACAACACCGCCTGAGCTCTGCAAGTGCAGCATTTTTCCGAATGAAGTATATAACTTTGTAAGTACTTAAATGTGTTGCAACTATGGTATTTAATGGATATGTTTAACAAATATTGTTGTAATAACAAGGGTGAAGACTTAACTAATTTCTTAATGCGTAAAATACTTCAATATTTAATATTTCTACAAAATAATCATTTGTAACATAGTAATTTTCAAACTCTCATAGCCACATTTCGTTCCTTTGATGTAGATACCACTGACTCAAAAATATCTGTTTCCCCTGAAGAGAACAAATTCTCAAGTGTATAACTTTGTAAGTACTTAAATGTGTTGTAACTTATGATATTTAATGATACAGATGTTCTATATGTATGCTACTGGAGTAAAACATTGATTTGTACATTAATTTCAGTCCACCAGAGGAAGGCCTGAGGTAGGCCGAAACCGGTCGTGGTCGGCTGATCCACAAGCTACTTATAAGAAGATACGACTGTATTAAAAATTTGCACCATATTGTTTGTTGTCGCTGTGAAGTTAACAGTGCAGCATGTTTATATACTGTTGTTGAATTACATTATTGTTTATGTTATACAAGTGGTATTTTTGTTGTATGCACCTCCATAGGGATACCAAGGTGCTTGTTTATAAAGCCATTGTCCTCCCAACCCTGCTATACGCCTGCAAGACATGGACTATCTACAGACGTCACATGCAACTCCTAGAAAGATTCCATCAGCGTCGCCTCTGAAAAATCCTGCAAATCTCTTGGGAAGACAGGCAAACAAATGTCAGCGTGCTGGAAGAAGCAAAGGCCACCAGCATTGAAGTGATGGTCCTCCGCCACCAAATCCGCTGGACTGGCAACGTTGTTGGGATGCCCGACCACCGTCAACATTGACACTGAAATACAACACCACCTGAGCTCTGCGAGTGCATCAACTCCGCTGGACCGGCCACGTTGTCCGGATGCCCGACCACCGTCTCCCAAAGCAGTTGCTCTACTCCGAACTCAAGAACGGAATGTTGGTGGGCAGGAAAAGAGATTTAAAGATGGGCTCAAAGCCAACCTTAAAAACTCTGGCATAGACACTGAGAACTGGGAAGCCCTGGCCCTTGAGCACTCCAGCTGGAGGTGAGCTGTGACCAGCAGTGCTGTAGAATTTGAAGAGGGTGAAAAAGAGAAATGTTCCAAGAGGAAGGTGCGTCAAGCCAACCCCGACCGGACTGCCTTCCACCTGGAAACCAATGCCTTCACTGCGGGATAACATGCAGGTCAAGAATAGGGCTCCACAGTCACCTATGGATTCACCAGTTAGTTACTTACTTAGGCAATCCCTCGTTGGCCGAGTAGGACAGTCTTCCAGGATCAGTGTTCGGGTTGGCTTGAAGCACAGTCTCGGTCAGGGTTGGCTTGACACGCCTTCCTCTTGGCACGCTTCTCCCTTTCGCCCTCCATTCGTGCCTCTTCAAATTCTACAGCACTGCTGGTCACAGCTGACCTCCAGATAGAGTGCTCAAGGGCCAGGGCTTCCCAGTTCTCAGTGTCTATGCCAGAGTTTTTAAGGTTGGCTTTGAGCCCATCTTTAAATCTCTTTTCCTGTCCACCAAAATCCCATTTTCCATTCTTGAGACCCATCAGTACACTGATCTTAGAGGACAATCCTACTCGGACTATGAGGGATCACCTAAGCAAGCAAGCAGTACATAAAAACACAATAGTACTGAGGGATAGGTCAGCAGCACTTCAAAGCCTTATTATGTAAGGTGGACAGAATGGCTGTGAGCCTACAAATGGTTGGGTACAAATAGAAGGAGAAATAGGACAATTCTCTGCACAGAGCTCATTGCATATCCCACGTTCTGGGTGGACAACTACCAGGCAGTGCATGCAAAGATGGGCATTTCAATGGTTTAATTGGCAGTAACCCTCTTATGAACAGCAACTAAGAAACAAGTCCCCCAGAATGGTAACATTCAAGGTTTGTTTTTGAGTCAACCTGCATAGGATCTGGATGAATGGAGTGCAAAGGGGAAAGTCATCACCTGGGACTCTTCCCAGGTCACTCCAGGATAACATTCGGAGGCGGGTTCATGACTCCAAGACCAGAATTTGGCACTTGAAAACTTAAGCTTGTAGGTGTTTGTGCACACCTTGCAGTCATCTGTATGCATTTCATAGGGTTTTCTTGGGAAAGGAATGTCTTTTCTCATGCTCTTGAAGTTCTGGCTTTCTGCATTTGGGACCAAATCTTGTGTATATGCCTTCAAGTCAATTATCAACCTACGGTGACCCCATGCATTGCAAAGGGAGACTCTGAGATGCTTTTGGCAGTTCCTTCCTCTGAAACATAGCCCACAGCACATGGTATTTATTGGCGGTCTCCCCTCCAAGTATTAATCCAGGGCTGGCCCTGCTTAGCTTACAGGATCAGATAGGACCTGGTGCATTTCGGGTATTCAGGCAGCTTTGAACTTTAGTAAAGGTAAAGGTCTGGATCGTGGCCATACAGCCCAGAAACCTCACAGCAACCCAGTGATTGGGTTGTTGTAGTTTTTTTTTCGGGCTATATGGCCATGTTCTAGAGGCATTCTCTCCTGACGTTTTGCCTGCATCTATGGTAGTGAGGTAGTGAGACCTCACTACCTCTGAGGATGCTTGCCATAGATGCAGGCGAAACGTCAGGAAAGAATGCCTCTAGAACATGGTCATATAGCCCGAAAAAAACCTACAACAACTCAATGATTCCGGCCATGAAAGCCTTCGACAATACATTAAATCCAGTGATTCCGGACATGAAAGCCTTTGACTTTGACAACATTGTTGTCGTGTTGTTGAAGGTTTTCATGACCAGAATCACTGGGTCGCTGTGAGTTTTCCAGACAGTATGGCCAATGCTACAGTAGCATTCTCTCCTGATGTTTTGCCCACATCTATGGCAGGCATCCTCAGAGGTTGTGAGGTCTGTTGGAAACTACCTGGACTTTCCACAGATATATAAACCTCACTTGACCAGTTTCCAACAGACCTCACTACTTCTGAGGATGCCCGCCATAGATGTGGGTGTAACGTCAGGAGAGAATGCTTCTGGAACATGGCCATACAGCACGGAAAACTCACAGCAATCAATTGTTGTTGTTTATTTTATCTCTATCCTACCTTTCTCACCATAGGGCGGGCCTGGGCAAACTTAGGCTGTTCAGAATTGTGGGAGTTGAAGTCCAAAACACCTGGAGGGCCGAAGTGAGCCCAAGCCTGCCATAGGCACTCAAGGTGGCCAACAATCATATAGCACTGCCTAATAGAAATGTAGGGGCCCCCTGGTAAAGAAATGGGTTAAAGCTGCTGAACTTGCTGACCGAAAGGTGGGCAGTTCAAATCCAGGGGGCATGGTGAGCTCCTGCCGTTTGCCCCAGCTTCTGCCAACCTAGCAGTTCAAAAACATGTAGATGATAATAATAGTAATAATAATAATAATAATAATAGAAAGCTTTCTGCAAGTCCACCGCAGGAGATGTGAGTAGATCAATAAGTACCACTTCTGTGGGAAGGTAATGGCACTCCATGTGGTCATGCTGACCACATGGCCTTGAAGGTGTCTACGGACAACGCCGGCTCTTCAGCTTAGACATAGAGATGGAAGACCACCCTTCAGAGTTGGACAAGACTAGACTTAGTGTCAGGGGAAACCTTTACCTTAGTTTATACAAATGTAAAGAGAGAGAAACACAAAAATTAGAAAGCTTTCTGCAAGAAGATGCCAAGAAAGATGTCCTTACCTGGATGATGGAGCCAAACTTCCTTTGGGAGAATAATGGAGGAAAAGGGTGCCTTGGCTGCTTTGATGGGTCTCCCTTCACCCTTCTTTGGTCCCACTCCCAGGGGTCAAAAGAGGAGTGGATACAAGTGGGGTCCTTTAGGTTGCCTCCAAACCAACTCAGCGAGACCTGGACTCAGCGGACGAGAGAAGAAGGCAGGTGGGTCCAAACTCCTTCCTTCTGGGTTGCTTCCAAGCCCACTTCAGCGACCTCTGAGCTTGTGGAAGGAGACCCAACAGAGAGAGAAAGAGGAAGACACCTGAGTCCAAGCTTTTGGGGCTTGTGTAACTGTGCTTTGAAGCCTCCGCCTTGGAGAGAAGAGAGAGATGAAGGTGGCTTGCCCACACTTTTCACTCCTGGGTTACCTTTCCCAGCCAGACCCAGGCTTGAAGAAGGGGCTTGAGGCAAGAAGAAGAGGGGGAAGGTGGTGGGTCCGAGCTCTTGCCTTCTGGGCTGCCCCCAAAGGATCTAGAAGAGGAAGGGGTCGGATCTCCCAACTTTAGGGTTGCCTCAAGTCCTGGGCTAGTGTCAGCTGCTTGGGAGAAGAGGAGAAGGAGAAGGAGGAAGAGGAAGGCTCTTGTTTCTTGGGCTGCCTCCAAAAGATCCTGAAGAGGAGGAGAGGAGGAAGGCGGCTGGGTCAGATCTCCCGACTTTGGGGTTGCCTCTAGTCCTGGGCTTGTGTCAGCTGCTTGGGAGAAGGAGGAGAAGGAGGAAGGCTGTTGTCTCTTGGGCTGCCCCCAGAAGATCCTGGAGACGAGAAGGAGGAGGAAGGCGGCTGGGTTGGATCTCCCGACTTCTGGGTTGCCTCTAGTCCTGGGCTTCTGTCAGTTGCTTGGGAAAAGAGGAGAAGGAGGAGAAGGAGGAGGAGGAAAGCTCTTGTCCCTTGGGCTGCCCCCAGAAGATCCTGGAGACGAGAAGGAGGAAGGCGGCTGGGACTTTGGGGTTGCCTCAAGTCCTGGGCTTATGTCAGCTGCTTGGAAGAAGATGAGGAGGAGAAGGAAGGCTCTTGTCTCCTGGGCTTCCTCCAAAAGATCCTGAAGAGGAGGAGGAAGAAGAGGAAGGCGATGGGGTCGGATTCCCCGACTTTGGAGTTGCCTCAAGTCCTGGGCTTGTGTCAGCTGCTTCAGAGAAGAAGAGGAGGAGAAGAAGGAGGAAGGCTCTTGTCTCCTGGGCTTCCTCCAAAAGATCCTGAAGAGGAGAAGGAGGACGAAGAAAGAGAAAGGGTCTCTCGGAGGGTTGCCTCAAATCCTGGGCTTGTGTCAGCTGCTTCAGAGAAGAAGAAGAGAAGAAGGAGGAAGGCTCTTGTCTCCTGGGCTTCCTCCAAAAGATCCTGAAGAGGAGGAGGAAGAAGAGGAAGGCGATGGGGTCGGATTCCCCGACTTTGGAGTTGCCTCAAGTCCTGGGCTTGTGTCAGCTGCTTCAGAGAAGAAGAGGAGGAGAAGAAGGAGGAAGGCTCTTGTCTCCTGGGCTTCCTCCAAAAGATCCTGAAGAGGAGAAGGAAGAAGAAGAGGAGGAGGAGGAAGGGTCTCTCCAAGGGTTGCCTCAAGTCCTAGGCTTGTGTCAGCTGCTTGGGGGGAGGAGGAAGAGGAAGGCTGTTGGGTCCACTCTCTCTCCTCTCTTCTGGGCTGCCTCTAGTCCTGGGCTTGTGGAGAAGAAGAGGAAGGCTGCAGAGTCGGGAGAAGAGCCACCGCGAAGCCTGCCTCCCTCCTTGGCTCGCTTTTGCAGCCCACGCCGAGGGTGGCGGGTCCACGGGGAGGAAGCCCACCCTCCTGGGCGAGGAAGGCCTCCCCCTGCTCTTCCTCCTCCTCCTCCTCCTTCTCTCCTTCCTCTTCCTCCGCCCGCAGCTCCCAACTCGGCTGCCAGAAGAGAAGCAAAGGCGGAGCCTTCTTGGCCAACCCTCCTCCGCCGGGAGAAGGAGAGGCCAAGCCACGCAGGCGAAGCCAAAAATGACCCCCGGTCCGCTTCAGGAGCCCAAGTTGGAGTCCACCTTGCCCGCTTCCCCTCCAGGCACCCGGAGCGCCTTCTCTCTTCTTCAGCTCCTTCCTTCCTTCCTTCCTTCCTTTCTCAGGCAGGGAAAGGGTTGACGCCCCGCGCGCTGCTCATTGGCGGCCCCGGAAAGGGGGCGGAGTCTTAGCAATAGCCTTGGCCCCGCCCCTTCAGGTGAGGCCAGGTGAATTAGCAACCCATTTGCAATGCCAGAAAGAGAGCTTCATGGTGTAATGTTAGAAAATGTGGACCATTTCCGCTGCCTTGGCAGCCACCTCTCCACAAAAGTCAACATTGACACTGAAATACAACCGACTGAGCTCTGCGAGTGCAGCATTTCTCCAAAGTGTTTGAGGACCGGGACATCCTTAGGGAGACCAAGGGGCTTGTTTATAAAGCTACTAGCGGTCCCCTGGCAGGTGTTGCTGTGGCCCAGTCTGTTGATCTGGAAAATAAAGTAATGAAAAAGTGTTGGTTTCTAATATATGTAATTTCTTTATCCTTGTGGGTAAACAGTATTTCTTGTTGTCGAAGGCTTTCATGGCTGGAATCACTAGGTTCTTGTGGGTTTTTTCAGGCTATATGGCCATGTTCTAGAGGCATTTCTCCTGACGTTTCGCCTGCATCTATGGCAAGCATCCTCTGAGGATGCTTGCCATAGATGCAGGCGAAACGTCAGGAGAAATGCCTCTAGAACAATGGTTCTCAACCTGGGGTCCCCAGATGTTTTTGGCCTTCAACTCCCAGAAATCCTAACAGCTGGTAAACTGGCTAGGATTTCTGGGAGTTGTAGGCCAAAACACCTGGGGACCCATAGGTTGAGAACCACTGCTCTAGAACATGGCCATATAGCCTGAAAAAACCCACAAGAACCTAGTATTTTTTGCTGTTTCCTTGTCAGTGTTGATGTGGAGATTGTCTGGTTTGTCTACTCTGGAACGTGCAACATATAATTGTCCTTTTTTAGGAGTCTCTTTCAAATCTCTGATACTGCATCTGTCATATACATATATGTGTGTGTGTGTGAATGGCTAGATGGCCCTTTGTCAGGAGGGCTTTGATTATGTCTTCATGCCCTGGTGAAGGGAGTTGGACTGGATGGCCTTAAGGCAGCATT